TCTGACTCGACCTGCTGAGGATTTCGAGTAATCCAACTGCTCTCCACGGTGTAAACAATCTGTTTACAGAAGCAGGTCTTGTAATTTAGTGACGCTCTAAATGGTAAATAACAGAGTTTAACATTTGTAATCTAAACCAAGGGCTCTCTGGTTTCAGTGCACTGAGTCGTGCAGGGCAGTGGTAGTGAAACATGATGAGAAAACATCACCACTCTTTGGCTGAACTGCTCACAACCCAGAAATATCAAAGAGGTCATGCATTTATTACTTCTTTTTGACAGGAAATATGCCAAAATTATTGGGAATCACTGCTTCAGTGGTTTCAACAACAGTCAGTATTTGGGAAAGTATAAAAGTGACTGAACTTATAATAGTTTTCAATTACAAATGTTATGACTAGGGTCACAGCTAACTTATATTCATTACTGATTCACCTGTGTGTCAATGGAGTCTATATGTATAAAACTACCTTATCAAGAATGAATGTCACTTCCGGCTTTTCCCGTTAGGAGTTGCCACATGTTGACATCTGGCACGTGTTTTACGCCAGATGCCCTTCCTGACGCAACCCTGACTCGAACCCGGGCCCTGACCACTAGTCTATCAGGGAACCCATAAAACTAGCTTATCAAGAGAAGACATTTTTTACCTTGCTGATCACTAGTGTAACACTGACAAGACCACACAATGTTCTGATTGCCTGAGCCCTCAACTCATTAAAGTCCCAGGTTGTATTGTGTACGGAGATGCTGAAAGATACTGGTGACAGAAAATGGGACACTCTCCAGAAACTGAGCCAGCAAGACATATGCCCACCACACAAACACAAACAGTAAGTCAGCTAGCACGCTGACAAACAGGCACTGGGAGGCTGAGCTCTTCTTCTTTCCACTCAAACTGCGTGCCATCATCCACAGCCAGAGAACATCCCTTTCCTTCTGGCCAGCTTCGTGGGAAAGAGGCTGGAAATGTGGCTCTTTTTGGAGCTCTGCTGCATTTGTGTGCGTGTGTATATGCTTATTAGTCATCAATGGGGGAAGCTCCAACATTTGTTCCCTTTCTTGCTGGCACATGACTTGCAGCCAACCAGTCTTTTTGGCTCTGACGCACCACAAATTCTGGCCGGCAAGTTTTTTTGGCAGGATGCTTAACATGGTTACGCAATTGCTTCCGTCATTTCAGCACAAGCAAAAACAGATTGTATTCATAAACTGTTGCTGTGGAGATGTGCCCACACAGGCAGATTCAAAGGATCAAACAACATGTGTAACTTTTGTCCAACACAGCTTATGGACCTAGGTCAACACTGATAAAAAGTGAGTTACAGGTATAAGAATTAAGGCGTTGCCAGTTACTAGTCTGACACAATAACACTGAAATGCTTTCTTCATCCCAAAGGGGAAAACATCCTCTTTCTTCAGTTAGGAGCACAAGTGCAGCACACAGCAGTCTTGCAAGCTTCACGACGAAGCTTGCAAGACGAAGGAACGTAGGGAAGCTTCCCCAAAGAAGGGACTGAATCCTAATGCACAGTGTCCCCAAAAGAGTTAAGAATGATCTTTACTTGAAAACACAGTGTTTGTTGCATATACTGGGGTGGACTACAGCATCTTTGACATTTTAGGTAATACATGCACACATACACAATAGAACATTATATAACATTAAAATTCACATAATGATTTACACCCACCCACAGAATGAATCTATATCACCAATGGCCCACTTCCAAAGGGATAAAAAAAACAACTTCAGGGACATGTGCCTGCCAATCCCTCTGTCCACCACTAGGAGTCTCCTGCCATGTGCCTCCTCTGCTTGAAAGGGGGATTTAAATTTCTCAGGCTGTCAATCAAAAGCTCGACCATAACACGGTCCTTGTTCTCTACCCTTTGCTTTACAATAAAACAGACCACTTAAAACATAACACATTACAAAAAGCTCAAATTACATGTTCATCAAAGTGTATGCATGAAAAGGGAATATTAATTGTGTATTAACAACCTACAAGTTGTGCCCAAACAATGAAAGCTGTTTATTACATAAGCTAAATTTCATAAAGTATCACTAATAGGCGGTCTCTACCCTGGTGAGGTAGAATGTGGTCTTGTGTCTCACACTGTTACAACTGTCTCTTAATGTAGTAAAATAACAGTAAAGCCAATATTTAATTGATCTCTGAAGTAACTAAAAGGAACGGGCAAGCATACAGCCTTTGTATGTCACTACGACCCACCAAGCTTTTGATCAGTCACGTTGACTGACACCGCTCGGCAACCCTGCTAGGTCCGCGTAACGTTAATAGTAGATAAAACTATTTGCTATGGGGCTCTATTTAAGGCAATGACGATTATTCTGGACATAACTGAACATATCGTGTACAAGCCGCATCGTTTAAACTCGCTGGCACAGCGTGCAAGTAAAAATAACCCCGTTTCAGCGAACGAAACCCCACTTTCTTTCGTAAAGTCGTGTCAATAGATGGTTTAAAGCCCCAGTCGCCCACCGCTAGCGTTAGCAACCTTAGCTACCAGTCAACACGGCTTACAGAGCCGTCGCTTTTCTCTAATAAACAATTGGTGTTTGTCGTTTCCAACAAACTACGCCCATAAGCAACATTACAGCTCACATACCTGCCGTGGAACCAGTCTTTACAGATGTCGCACTCGATCATAAACCTGCTCACATCGTAGGGCTGCCGGCAGACACAGTATAGCGGGGCCGCCGCCATCTTCCTACTGTCCCCAAACAACGCAGGAATGAAGCGGGGCGGGGATTTAACCAGCCACCCGGAAATACCCGAAGGTGGAGCCGAGCGCCCCCGAGCTCACCACAAGATCCGCCATTCTAGGCAACCCCACAACTTACGTCAGTTTCCAAATTGTTCATTTCGATCTACTTGTGTAGGCACACTAACAAAAGACAAACTTTTTCCAACAAAAGAGTGACATGTCAGTGTTTTTTAAGACATTTTGTCAATGTATTCAGCAAAATCTGTTGATCTTTAGGACTAAATAAAGGAAAATATTGAGCTTCATAGGCTTTACAGGGTATGCTAATGATATACATTATATTTTCACTATTATGTGAGGTAACTTTAAATGTATTTTTTAAGTTTTCGTGTATTTAACAAATTCAACATATCTTATTCAACTTATCTTACTCAAAACGTTTCTTAAATTCTGGTCAAGAACCCAAAATATTCATAAAATACGCCAATATGATGCAGGGGAATTTAATAATATCAATTTGATTTAGCGTTTCAATAAAAAGTAATGCCTTCACATTTTACTTCTTAGGCTACATAATGTAGTTGAAATGAAGCACAGAATTTTTTTTAGATGTAAAAAACATTTGTAAATGATTGTAAATTACATTAAATACATGCGTTCTGAAGTGCAGCATTGGCACCAACCTATCAGTAAGCACACAACTGATATGATGCAAACAACCCCCCCCCCCCAAAAAAAAAGCAGAGATGTGTGGGATGCAATCTAAAGCTGCTCTCTCTGCTGCGTATTTGCACAGTTGTGTTCTATTTTCAAACCTGTCCTTAGCACATAATTTTCTTCAGCTAATATTTTCAACCTATAACATAAATTGCAGATGAGCCTTAAAACCAAAACAATATCTACTCCTGGCATGTCTCCATGGAGCGTGTCTGACATGCCCTACGCGCTTGTGTAGAGAATAGCAATGGGACCACCGACCCTCAGCTTGATCTGTGAGCTGACAGCACCCATCCCCCACACGCCCATCTGTGCTGCTCTGCATAAGCAGGCTTGGTTCATGCAGGGACTCATGAGCGCTCACTGCACAGGAGACACATGTGATTTACTAGGTTCATCTGCAGATCTCAGTTTGAGTATATTTTCCTTTGGCACATTCCCAGTCTACAGCAAGACGTAAACATTTCCTCTGTCCTCAGGATGATAATAACGGCCCACACCAGTTGTAGAAGATCATTATCACATCTTCACATTAGGATTTCTCTCCCTCAGCCTAGTGTGAGCAGTGCGACTTCATGTCTAGTGTGCAGATCCCCCAAATGCCTGTAAATATTCCTCCTGGTAGTTAATTATCCTGTGTAGTTGACATAATATGTAAAGGCTTGTCAGTCTCTACAGCCCTGTGATAGACTGGTGACCTGTGCATGGTGTACTTCACCTCTTGCCCAATGTGACCTGGCTCCAGGATAAGAGTTACAGCTAGTTGATAAAAGTGAATGTTGGTGCTTCTTTTTTTTAAGGTTTTTAACCTCTTTCACTCATGTAAAGCACTTTGGTCAACTAAAGTTGTTATAAAGTGCTTGGCTGTCTAAATAAAATTTGGTTTGATTGATCGATTGTCACTGTTGATGAATATCCAATGAGAACATTGCTATAAACAATGAAGTTACTCACAAGTATGAGCATTTGTAGATGTCATGTAACACATAAAAACATATGGACAATGAACCAGTGCAAAGTAAGAAACCAAGTGATTTTTTTTACAAGAGATAATGAACTTAATAAATCCTTAACAAATTGACCAAAAATATTGTTCAGATAGCCTGTTGAAATCCTCATTAACGCAAAAATAATGCATTGCCAGTTGTTACTCCTCTTGGATGCTTGAGCTTCACTGTGCAGAATGATGTGTGCAGAGTTTGACACAAAGAGCCTGTTTACAAATTCATCTGCTATAAAGGGATGGTTTCAATCTAAGATCTGTTTGTACAAATATGATTTGGACTCCAACAGTGGTCCAGTATGCTTCATAAAATAATGTGAGTCCTCAAGTACAGAGACACTGAAAAAGGATGAAGGTTGCAAAACCCTTGAAAGAAATATTTGTATTTTCATGAATTAGGATTTTTTTTTTCAATGAGGGCAAAGACAAAGGTGTGCATTTTATTTCATTGTCAGTATCTCAGGCAAAAATTATTTAGTCTTTTTATTTTAAAATGTGTCGGGAGAGGAAGTTTGTGTTAGACAAAAATCACAGCCATAGAAGTTTTTTCATCCCATATTGGACTATTAGATTAAAATACACAAAACTCATTAGATATCACCGATATCAACAATGAAGCTACGTAAAACAACCGCAAGAGGCTTTACACTCTATTCCTTTCTATTCTCAAACTAATTTATGTATATAAATCTATTTAAAAAAGGGGCAACAATTTAGTGTTAAAGCGTCACCTCCCGGTTAAATAGCGACATTGTTGGCTGCGTGCTCGCGCTCTCCCGGAGCGCGCACGCTATGCGCTGTCTTACGTCTGCCCAAACAAGGAAGAAGCGAGCCCACCCCCTCTGCATTAGCAGCATCATGGATGCATCATGGTGCAATAAAATTCAGACACGATTTAAATCGGAGTTTTTACTTGCCGAGTATGGATTGTGGAGATACTTTACCACGACTTACGATATAACTAGATGTTAAAAGAGGTAAGAAATAAATACATGGTGGTGTGAAGAAGCAGAAGCTGTGCTGCGTTAGGGAGGTGGCTGGCTGATTTCTTCACAGCCGTCTGTTGCTACACAGGACTTTGCAGCACATCTGTCATGCTCTAACATAATTTAGCTAATTTATTTCATCTCTCTTTTTTCATACAATAAAATAGTACCTCATAGTTTAGTAACTGTTTAGTCGTTTTCTGGCAAAAATGGCAGGTATTCACTTGTTTCAGGAATTTGCTGATTGTATTTGACCTTAAGTCATATTTGTGGATTTTACACAATTTTATATTTTTGACAATTTTAATGGGCAGTTTTCACCATTTTATAATTTGAACCTTTAATCAAGAAAATAATATTCATTAATTGATCATGGAAATAATTGTTAGATGTAACAAAATTCTGTAATTTGAATGGCCCTTCTAAAATAAATTATTAAAAACATTGGAGCAATAGTAATTTTATTACAGTTTTAAAATATTTACAAAAGCTGATTTTTCAAGGAGGCAACAGAGTTTTAGAAAAACATTTGAAAATGTTATGCCAAATATAATCATCTGAGATCAAGGAATTACTGCTAATCTCTGAGTGACTGCAGATGCAGCGTTCGGTAATAAATAATGAAGATTTGTGCATCGGTGTTAGTTAGTAAATGTCACTGGTAGAAGTAGACACCCAATGGTATTTGCATTAAATGAATACATTTCATGCTCTGATAAAATGGTCGTGTAAATTATTAGATATTTGGCTTCCCTTGGTAAAATGTGCATTTGTATCCTTAGTGAAACCATTATAAAGTGATGTACTGTTTCATTTGGGATGGGTTTGGTAGAGCCGTGTCCTGAACCTGAAGATGAGGCGTTTGTCCAGAAAGAAAGCCCTGAGCCTGGTGAAGGAGCTTGACGCCTTCCCCAAAGTGTCAGAGAGCTACGTGGAGACCTCCGCTTCAGGTGGAACAGGTGAGACATTGCTCTGTGAACAAGACAGTAGTAAAGATATCAGTTCTTTGCTGATGCCTTGACAAACAGTAACCATTTCGTCTTGTCCGCAGTGTCACTGATAGCTTTTAGTGCCATGGCACTTCTGGCTATATTAGAGTTCTTTGTTTATCGAGACACTTGGATGAAGTATGAATATGCAGTTGACAAGGATTTTTCTAGGTAGGTTATTATAATTCAGTTCCCAACAACCACTTCTTACTTTCTGTTTATTTGTATGCACATTGCATTGCTTACAGTTCAAATATGGGAGAGGATATTACTCACTCTTGTTTTGTTTTTTGTCTTTTTTTACAGTAAATTGAGAATTAACATTGACATTACAGTTGCCATGAAATGCCAGCGTGAGTGTCCGAGCTCCTTTTCCTTTCACATAGAACAACTAGTCATTGACATATATTGCAAATGTATACTGTGTATTCATCACTTAATACTTTGTCTGTGATTACAGATGTTGGCGCAGATATTCTAGACCTGGCTGAGACCATGATCACATCCAGTGGCCTCCAGTACGAGCCCGTGAGTGAAGAATGTCTAGACTAATTTAATTCTGCATGCACTCTCTAGTTACCTCTCCAGCTGTTTATGAAAAGATCACAGTTTGTTCATTAGACTGTTTTGAGGCACATATTATTGGCATGCTTTTAGAAATGTTGCTTTTAACAACTGGGTCCTTTTGCTGTCCTCTCTGTACATTTGTTCAGGTTATTTTTGAACTGACTCCACAACAGAGACTGTGGCAAAGGTAAGCTTTCATGAAATCACTGCTTCTTTTAAAAGCTTGTTTTGAAAAGTAGTATCTCAAGGACTTGGGTGTTGGTAGCAGTCTAGAAATCTTGCATAACTGCATTCCAGATGTAGTTTCTGTGCACAAATGTAGCTTTGAGCAAGTGCTTGGCAACCTGTCGTTTGTCCTCCAGGACGCTGCTTCTCATACAGAGCAGGCTGAGAGAGGAACATGCTCTCCAGGAAGTCCTCTACAAAACTCTTCTTAAAGGAGCTCCCACTGCACTGCCCCCACGGTATACTTTTTATAAAAGGCAAATAAAAATTGGCAGGAACAGGCTTAAGTTGTATTTTTTGTAGACAAGGAGTAAAACATGCTGAATCGTGTGTAGGGAGGATCTCTCTATGGAGCCACTTAATGCATGCAGGATACATGGACACGTCTACGTCAACAAGGTGGCAGGAAACCTGCATATCACTGTGGGAAAGTAAGAGAATCTGTGCTGAGTTTGTTGACATGATCCAAGATTTGCATAAAGAAGAAAAACGGAACTACTTGGTCTTCTAATACCAGTATTTTGCCTTTTGCAGGCCTATTCACCATCCTCAGGGTCATGCCCACATTGCAGCTTTTGTGAGCCACGACAGTAAGTTAAAATGTTTCTTTTTGTAATTTACAAATACAGCTGGCAAAATTACTTTAAATTCTGCCAAGGGTATTGCAAAATTGTTAAAAAGTAAATAATATTTGTTCAGTTGAATACTGCATCCATTGTTTCCTGTTTGCAATATACAAGATAGTGTCACTTTCTAGCTATCCAGTGCAGTCACAAGCTTACAAGTGCAGAGTAGATTTTTTTTTTCCATTTTCTCTTTTACAAGTCAGAGCAAGCTATCTATGCCCTTGATTGAACCTGAGCTTACTGTCATCTTTGCGTTACAGCGTACAACTTCTCCCATCGAATAGACAATTTATCTTTTGGGGAGGAGATACCGGGTATCATCAATCCTCTGGATGGCACAGAGAAAATCACCTATAACAGTAAGTCACTGCACTTCCCACAGATGGGAATATAGAGGATAAAACATATGGTGAAGTGGTGGATGATCACTACTTAAATACAGTACAAGACAGGAGTTTTGTTGCACTTGAAAGACAGTGAATGTTAGAACAGTAACATTATGTTTCTTCAGCTGTACTTGGCATTTTCCTTCTTCAAATTAATGTAAAAACACAAAATATTTCAGTTTTTCACAAGTGCCTGCTGCATGTCTACCCCAGACAACCAGATGTTCCAGTACTTCATCACAGTGGTGCCCACCAGACTGAACACATACAAGATATCGGCTGACACGCACCAGTTTTCTGTGACCGAGCGAGTGAGTCAAAAGAACTTTTAAAAATCCAGGCAAACTGTGACAAAACCTGAGAAGCAGCTAGAGAGACAGAGAGAATGATGGGTTCTGGGGAAGCCCAGGGGAGTACTAACCACCATACTACCTGTTTCCAAGGAGCGGGTGATAAACCACGCAGCAGGCAGTCACGGAGTTTCTGGGATCTTTGTCAAGTACGACACCAGCTCTCTGATGGTGACGGTCAGCGAGCAGCATATGCCACTGTGGCAGTTCCTGGTGCGACTGTGCGGCATTATCGGGGGAATCTTCTCCACAACAGGCAAGTCTGCAATCTTATTTTTTGTTCAATTAACAGACAGTACAGTCACATAAAAAAAAAAAAAGCAGCAAATGTAACGTATAGGGCGCATAGCTGAAGCCAGCCTTTGGGCCCCCCATCCCCGGTCTTTTAAATTCAGTCCAACTATATACTTGTTAAAAAAAGGATTTGTTTTAGCATGTAATTTGAGTGTTGACTTAAAATGTAACTGTCACCACGTTTCTCTCACTGAAGGCATGCTCCATGGGCTTGTTGGCTTCTGTTTTGATGTTATCTGTTGTCGTCTCAAACTGGGAGTCTATAGGCCCAGAGAGGTGAGTCGTTACAATTATTCAAAACACTGCCTTCCTGTTGTACCCTAAATGAGTTGTCTCCATTACTGCAAGCAGTGTTTTTACTCTGTGTTACAGCACTATTTCAGTAGACCCAACTGTACCGACTCTGTTCTAGGCTGCGCAGCTACACAACCAGAATGATCTGAACAATCACTAGATCCCTCTGCTGGCTGACCGTGTCCCTCAGGAGTAGCCGTCTCAATGACCAGGGCATGCTGCCTGCCTTCTGCATAGTTTAATGAAGCAGACCTAAACCTGGTTTCTCATCCCAGTAGGAGAGAATAGACCAGAGTTCATCATCTTCTATTTGTTGTTGTTCCTGTCTTGAAACTGTTCTACTGAAAAAAAGCAAAGCTGTCTGTTAATCACGTAACTTGGAGTGAAATTCACATCCAATCATTGCATTTCAGAAAGGTACATGCTCTGTGAGTGCAGTTGTGTATACAGCAATATTTGAAGATGGCTTTTTTAAAGAAATGTTACAGGTTTACCGTTCCATTAACTGTGCAAAACAATTTCATTCCTCCTTTGTAGACATTCAACAAGTCCAGTGTAGTTTTGCTACACTGTGGTTAAAGAAATATGTGAACAGTATTTAAAGAGTTGGCTCTCTAAGATGTGAAGCACAAACCTTTAAGAGGACGACTGTGCTGGCGACTAGAAAATAATATGAAATTACACTTGTATAACTGGTCCGCGTTCCAGCTTAAAAATATACAGGTCTGTGTGCAGGCACAGCAAATACTGTTTGTAAAACAAATCCAGCATTTTTAGACAAACCTAGTATTTAGGAGAACATGTCTGACTGATAACCATTACAACCTCAGCCAGTGAGAATATTCAAACACATTCTTATGACAGACAAGAGCCTGCAAACCCCACAGGACAACAGCAATACTAATGTGCTCAGCATTTTTTTCCACACGCAGCTGGATCATTTTTCTGACTAACATTTATCAGAAGAATCACTTTAAACTGGCTGCTAAAATTACATTTTGTGACTAGAAACCCAACATTAGTGAAGCAGAAAGCAAGTTTAATGGACTGCAGCACACTTCACTGTTCTAGTTTATTTCTGCTTTGGAAAGTAAACATGAACAAAGTGTCGTCAGAGCTGGGAATAAAGGTGGTCAGACATTTCGCAAATAACACAAAAAGATGAAGTCATTGGTTATGTGTTGCTGTTTGTCACATGCAGTAACTGTGGCTCCTGCTCGGGGTTTCCTGTACCGTGTTCTGCATTTGGTCTGCAAACAGCAAAGACAGCACAGACAAGAGCAAAACTCCAGAACGATGACACCATTACAGTAACACTGAGAACAATCTGATGAAACCACTTCATACAGACCTCGTATGACTGCAGACATTTTGGTTCATCACCCCAGCCCCGAGAAAATAAGAGGACTTTTACCATGGTTACATCACAAACATGGGCTTTGCATAAACATACAGTTTTGTCCCCTTTTCTCCCATAAAAGCTCATGACCATTGTTTGTATTCTGTCCAGCGTCCAGCCGTGCAACACAGACAACACTGCAGCTTCCTCGTTTGTTTAGTAAAAATCTGACTTGCCTGTCACACTTAACACTTTGGGTAGACTCTGTGGGAAGCTCTGTGGTGGAATCCTGTGAAGACACCCACCAGGCAAAAACAGTCAATTCATTTTTTTTTGGTAATATGCATGTTGAACTATTTACAGATATTCCAAACTGGGATGAAAGATCTACCACTCCTGTGGTTCTGGTCCAGACTAGCATACAGCTGGGACTGGCTCCAGCCCCCTCACGTCCCTCTTCAGGATAAGAGGTATAGATAATGGATGGATGGGTGGATATAATTATCCAATGATAGTGGGGAAAAGAATGATTTGATCCCCTGCTGATTTTGTAGGTTTGCCCACTTACAAAGAAATGAAGGGTCTATAATTTTTTATCATAGGTTTATTCTAAAGGATAGCGACATAATATTAACAAAAAATCCTGAAAAAGCATGATACAAATGTTATAAATTAAGTTGGATTTCAGTGAGTAAAATAAGTAATTGATCCCCTACCAACCAACAATAATTCTGGCTCCCACAGACTGGATATGTGCTCATGTGGTGCACAGATTAGACCTGTCAGCATAAGAAGGTGCTCCTAACAACAACTTATGTATATAAAAGACACCTGTCCACAGAGTTTCTCCATCTTCCATTCAAACCTCACCGCCATGGGCAAGACCAAAGAGCTGTCAAAGGAAGTCAGGGACAAGATTGTAGACAACCTGCACAAGGCTGGAATGGACTACAAGACCATCAGCAAGAAGCTTGGTGAGAAGGAGACAACTGCTGGAGTGATTATTCATAAATGGAAGAAATACAAACTAACCATCAATCGTCCTCGGTCTGGAGCTCCATGCAAGAGTTCAGCTCATGGGGTAAGGATGATCATGAGAAAAGTGAGGGATCAGGCCAGAACTACACGGGAGGAGCTTGTGAATGATCTCAAGGCAGTTGGGACCACAGCATTGAGGGCCAATGGACAGGGCTGTGTATTGTAAAATCTTGGATGAGAACCTCCTTCCCTCAGCCAGGACACTGAAGATGAGTCACGGATGGCTCTTCCAGCATGACAATGACCCAAAACATACGGCCAAGGCAACAAAGGCGTGGCTCAAGAAGAAGCACATTAAGGTCATGGAGTGGCCTAGCCAGTCTCCAGACCTTAATCCTATTGAAAATCTACAGAGGGAGCTGAAACTTCAAGTTGCCAAGCGACAGCCAAGAAACCTTAAAGATTTAGAGGCAATCTAAAGAGGAGTGAACCAAAATCCCTCCTGAGATGTGCACAAACCTGGTGACCAGCTAAGAAGCGTCTTACCTCTGTGCTGGCCAACAAGGGTTTCTCCACCAAGTACTAAGTCATGTTTTGCTTGGGGATCAAATACTTATTTTACTCACTAAAATGCAACTCAGTTTATAACATTTGTATCATGTGCTTTTTCAAGATTTTGGTTTTGTTGAAATTCTGTCGCTATCCTTTAGAATAAACCTGATAAAAATGATAGACCCTTCATTTCTTTGTAAGTGGGCAAACCTACAAAATCAGCAGGGGATCAAATAATCCCTTTCCCCACTGTATTTGAAAAAGCCAGATGGTCAATTAACAACATAACTATAATTAAAGGATTTCCTGAACCCTCAAAACTATTCTGTCCATTGACCTTTTTACAAGTTGCAACTGTTTTCTACCCAAGTAGCAGGTGCCATTGTGTGTGGTTTACAATACAATTGCAACTTGGGAAACTGTTTGGAAGTCTTTTATACCCAACTGGTAAGAAGACTGATTAAAGCGTGACGTTTTGCAACTGCACCCACTGCTTGGACAACTTAATTTTATCAGGGGATCTTTTACAATCCCACAGTTGGATTAGAATTAATCTGTAATCTCGTAAATTAATCTGCAATTTTTCCACTTCAATTTCATCCTCAGTCATCTAAGGAGCTTCCCCTTCATCTGCTAAGGGTTTGGGAGAGTTGGTCTCAAAACACTTTTGGGAGACAGTGTACGGGACACTGGGCTATACAAATAAACTTGACTCTGATATACATATAATACAAGGTCTACCACATATAATCAGACTAGTCTTTGATGCAAGTATAAAGATGTAAAAGTAGTAAACTTAGTTTCAGTACAAACTGCTGTACAAATAGGCAAAATGTGGATGAGCATTCACACAAGCAAGGTTCAAAGACATACTGACATTTGTGATGGTAAATAAGTGACAACCTCAACAGCAGGAAAGATGGCAGACCGTTATGTTTCAGTATCTGCAGTGATGGTCAGATTTCAGCTCTAACACTAGTCTCAATAATCTAGATTGGCCTTGAGGCAGGTAACCACCAGTCAACCTTCAAGGCAGCAGACGTACAGATATCCAAATCACCTGCGTGTTAAAGAGGAACTGGGCATCTCCACAGGAAAAACACAGAACCCAAATGACCTTATAGAAACTCTCCTCCATTGAGACGCTGCCATGTTTCAAGAATGGAAAAAAAAAATCATCACAAGGCAAGACAATGTAATTTAACAGGACAGAAACACTGCTGTGAAAAGGAACATGGAAGTTGTTGCATATATAATTGGCCACTTTGAGAAGAAAACAGCAGGTAGAAAATGAATGGACGGGGTCTGACTGAACAGAGCAGGTACTAATGACAGATTTCCAATACAAACAAATAATTCATGGCTAGTAGACCTTTTTCCCCTTCTGAGAACTTCACACGGCTGCGGCCCCCACCTGCAGAGAGCCCTGCTAATCCGCACTAAAGGAGAATTTGGAATGTCCTTAGTGAATGTCAGAGTCTCAGATGTTTTGTCCTGCTGACAGCTGAGGGCAAGGGAGAGCTGATGTCTCTGGCTTGAGGCAGAGAGAGGAAGACTCAGTTGGTTAAGGTGCTGGATGCACGGAAGTAGGAGAGGAACTTGAAACAGAGGCTGACCACAAAGTACCAGATGTTTCTGGCCATCTGGGAGCGGGCGATAAACACCCTCCAGATGAAAACGACCAGCAGAGTGTTGAAGGTATAGCGGATGTTCCTCAGCCTGGGAGAGAAGGAGTAAGTCAGGACATATTGAACAAGGTCTAAAATAATCCACTGGCTACGGAGATCATGGTTAAACATTTAGAAGAAATCTGCATCTATAATAAAACTTGACAATATACATGTGACTATACACAACAGTTTGAGGAAATTCTGATTTCCTCCACAACATTCAGGTTAATAATGAATCCTTTGTTAGGGCATGTGATATTTATTTTCCATTTCCAGTTTCACCAACACAATGATGTAACAGGGAGGTAGTTCCAGTAACTGATAGCCAAAAACTATTGTTTAGTTGGTAGACAGGCTGACAAATCTTTAAATCTGTACTTAAGTTGCAT